TTACCTGTGTATATTCATAATTATTCAACAAATCAATTTTGTGAAATAGAAGGCTTTTCATAATGGTCGTGAAAACACTTTTGGAATGAATGCTCTCATTGCTATTTATTTATGCCAGCATTTGTGATGCTTTTGCTCCGTAAATAAAGCCTCATGCACTAGAGTGTTTGAGATCAGTCTAATGGAAAAATATGAAAAGAGAAAACATTGACTAAGCAAATAGCTTCTATTGGAGGAGGGTAAATGAATGCTTCTGGGCTGTGTTTGTACCTGCTGTCCCTCCAGTCTTAGTCGACTTCTTGGCATACATAAATGCTCATATCCATGTTAAAAATATAATGATCATTAAAGGCCAAATTATCTTTATGTATTGACATTGCTATTACATGTGGCACATTAGACCACAGGTAGATGACAACAATGGACATAATGTAATTTTATCTGTACAAAAAAAATAACTTTAGACTTCTAATGCATAGCCCTGCCTTGTTGGCAAAGTTTATCAGCTTTTCTAGTTTGAATTCATGCTTGTTATGGCATTCTCTTAGCAAATATTTCTGTATTTCATCTCCTGGGTTTCACTCAAGGATGTAGGCAGGATAATGCTGAGAGAAGAGTGGGAAGCTGAAGTGTCATCTTATAATATTTCAGAATAGCATTTTCTGCTATTGAGGCTGCTGTAAACTTGGAAGGCAGTATCAAGATTTCTTAGCTGTGCCCACTAAGTTTATAATGGACTCTCTAGTTTCCATGTGGGCTTAACATACCCTAAATGTTAGGATGTTCTTTTTCCTTTTTTGGAGCAGTTAATTGAAGATTGGTAGCAGTAAAAACACCATAATTACAACAAAATGTTAAGAATTGACTGTCATCCACAAATTGTCATTACAGGCACTGTATTTAAAAATGAAGATGTTAATGAGGAACATGTCAGTTGATGACGAATGTCCTGTGATTTGAAATAACTGTCTTCCAAAACATTACTTTCTTGCTGAGAATCCAAAATGTTAATATGCGTTATAAAATGAATATTAACATTTAACTTAATATCTTAATGACTTACGTTAATGAACATCGCAAAACTAGAATGGACAGGCAGATGCATACAACATGATGGATGCATACTGTGAATCTTGGAAGGGGGCCTAAAACTCAAACCAACTGATGGGTCTCCATGCTTTTCAGAGGAGCTAGTTACTCCTTTGCTCCTCTCCCAGAGGATTAAAAAAATCCTACTGCCCTTTCACAGTTTGTTATGGACAACAGCAGTTTGTACACTCCGAGAGAAATTGTTTAGCATGACAGGTAGAAGATGTAAGGGAGTTTCAGTGGGGTTACTGCTATCCAAATAGTCAGTATTTGTGTATATGGCCACATGATGAGTTAAAATAATGATACTGATGATAGATTGATTGTGAGGTATTTGTTTGAATGACTGGTTTGCAAAATTGTGCTGACATTACAGGATTACTGCTTTTGTTTAACACAGCATTGCTTTATATCAAGTGAAGATGTTGCCTCTTCCCCCTCCCTTTTTTTTTTTAAGAGATTAGCAAGGATTAGCGAGAGAGGAAAATTAGCTTTCAAAGCATCCATGGTTTCTTTTTTGAGATAATATTTCCAATTAATATCCTAATGAGCACAAATAAGAGCATCAGTGATTCTAAACCTCTTACCAGAGCCCTGGGAAACCAAAGTTTCCTGACTTCAGTTCAAAGTTTTCAATGCTCATGTAGGGCTTTCTCAGATGTTGTGTATTTCCCTACAGCTGTCTCAGGAGTGAACAGTGCCACTCTTTTTCTAGTTGTCTTGAGAGCAGCATACCATTTTCTAAAGGGTGAAGGGAGACTTTCATTGCTGCAAACACCACACACTAAAGCACTGAACCAGAAATAAAATAACTGGGAGGCAGAGAGAGGGAGGAGATGGTAGAGAGAGATGGTTCCTCATGAGCTGTTAACAGAATCAGGAGAGAAAAAGGGAAGAAAACAGCTGGCTGATAATTTATTACACCATTTTAGCAGAAAAGAGAATTAAAGCAGAAAAGAGCATAGCTGTGAGCAATGTAGCATTTCTCATCTACTCAATGATATAAAGTGCCAGAACACAAATAAGATCTGGCAAAGAATATAATCATGTGGAAGCCTGCAGTGGTTTAGTTCTACTGGTGGGAGTTGAAAGCAGGTGAACAGATTGTTTAGCATTGAATTAATTGATGCTAAATGAATTTTGTATTATATGGCTGATAGTGATGGTCATTCTAACCTGAGAAATATCCTAAGAATAATGTTCACCATATAATACAAACCTTCTTTGTTGCAACTCTGTTTTTTTACAAGCCCTTCATTTTTTAAGTGACAAATTGTCTATACCACCTCATTCCCTAGCAGGGCTGCATGACAATTCTGACACTGCTTAGAGAAGGGGTAGGTGTAACAGCACCCAATTCCTATCTCGAAAGTTAACAGCATGGTTTCAATCTAGAATTACAGTATAAATATTGATTATTGGTATTAAGGTGGCATTTGCTGGTAATGGAATTGTTTATCCTTTCCTGTATCATTAAATGCTCTGAGCTTGTTAGTGTGGCTTGTCTACATGTATTTCTAGCAGAGATTTAACAAGGAAGTAGGCATCATAATCACTAATGGAACCTTTCATTGTATATTTAAACTAAGGCAATTTGGGAGAACAGTAGATTAACAGTCTGATTTCAGAATCAATTTTTGTGTAATTCTTGGCACAGGGCACCTAGTATTGGGATCCTAGTGATACAACTTCACATAATATGCTGTATCATATAGATTCATATTAGTACTACCTTTTCATTTGAACAGAGTTCAAAATTTTAAACAATTAATCTTGGAATGCCTCCAATAAAACTGTTTTTAGTCTTGCAAGGTGCAGCAATTGACATTATTGGCTGAGCCATTGCCTGCTGTTTCTAAACAAAAGCTTATGTTTGCATGATTGTTGCCTGTTTTGCATTTCTGGTGCAAAAATGACGCAATATCCTCCAGAAACTTTACCTTATTCAGCAGAGTATATACGTGTATGTTTCGTTTTAATAATTACTGAAGATATTTCAGGAAGGACCTTTGAGCTCCACTGAGATTGAGCCCTTGTTGTGTTCCTCATTGCACCAACTAAAATTGTAAAAGGAATTTACTGTCTCAAAGTAGAAAAAAAAATGAAAGAAAGAGATGCTTTTCTTTGTTTCCTAACATCACAGAGTGCTTGCTTTCAGGACCCAGATCTCAGTTCCCTCCTATGTCTCCCAGAGGCATAATTTTCCTTGTGGGCTTAATTAAAGCACCCCAAACCTCGATTTTTCAGGTAGGTACTTCTTTGTACAAATTGGTAATCCCTGGGATAAGGTTATTATTATGCTACACCAGTGTGGCTTTTCAATACCTGGACTCCATGGAACTCTCACTAGGACATGTGTAAGCTTCTACAGTAACAAGCAGTATTTTATTGTTTCAAGAAAGTTTAGCTTCACAGAGAGTAACTTTGGAACATGCACATGTATTATTTATTGACATTTGTGCCATGTTCGCATTCAGGATGGCCTAATTCAACATCTGTTCCTGATTAAAGTGAGCATCTGGTATTTCACAGATAATTATGAGATGAGCTCACTGTCCTCTAGGCCTACCAGGCAAATTTGAACCCGGGTTTCTAGGTGGATGGACCTGGTTCAGTGCTGGGTGCAATTCTGATCACACCTCTTACATAGAGTGTGATCAGAATAGTGTTTATCTGTTATACCCTGTTTGCAGGCAGAAGCACCAGCAACTTCCGTGTTGCATCCAGGGATCAGGAAGGAAAAGAGAGATGAAGATTCTTCTAACACAGAAGCATAAAATGGGAAAATTCTTGAAAGTTCTGCTCCTGTTAAACTTTTTCTCTTGCTTACTCTGAAAACCTAAATATGTGATCCTTCTTTGCCCTGACAAATGTATTTGTCATACAGTGAAGGAATTAATTCACCTATGAAACAACCACTTGGTGTCCAGGATATGGGGAAAGACTTTGTTCCCTTGTTGATTTGATCAAACTGGTTGAGTTTGTCCAGAGAAATAAGTTGGCTCCTAGAGAAAATTACCACAGGATGATAGTTACATACTGCAAGGAGCCCAAATTAATTTTGTCTTCTCTTGTCCCAGAGCAAGGTGCATAACTCATTATTCATTATGAATTGTAAAGAATTTGTTTGAATTTGTCACTTCTGGTTGACAAATACAATATTCAATATTTCTGTTGCTTTAGCTCATGGCTACAGTTTTTAATTAGAGGAGACTCTTTCTCTGATATTAAGCCTGAAAGGTCCCAGAAGGAAAGGGCTAAGAGCTTTCTTTGTTTCTTGTTTTCCTCTCTGACAATGTTCCCTAGAAATGCAAGCTTGTGAATAAGTAATCTAACATGCGCTTCTCTCTTAGCAGCTGTTAGTTGCAGGATTTTATTTCTTTGTGTTCCAATTTATTTATATGCATCTATGGATGCATATGCATAGGGATGTACAAAAGCAGACAAATACTTTTCTCCTGGCACTTGCTTTATGTTCTTTCTTTAGGACCTATAAAACAGTTATAAGTCAACAAGTCAGATATACGGCAACACAATTGCAAATAGCAGTGTACTGAAAATTCAAATTGCAATGCCAAACCATGCTAGCCTGCTAAATGATCCCATGTACAGAATCTGTTAGTCTGATAGGCCAGTTGCATTTATGCACTTCCTTTGAAAAAGCAGTAAGCAATTCTGAATCAGAGAAGTAAAAAGCATATCCCACCAGACTCCATCAAAACCCTTTTAGTTATCCTTCAGAAATAAATGGCATAAACATTGTCTCCATAGCTCTAACTCCTCCTATAAACATTTCAATCTTGAGAAGTTATGCCATTTGAATGTCACTTCTGCTCTGTATTTGTTGCATGTGATTTACTCTGACTGCTATCTGCATAACCTTAGTTTTTTTGTGTTTTTTTTCTTGCCAGGTATTATCAGCCGCCAGGAGGCAGAAGAGTTGTTGATGAATAAATCTGAAGGAACATTCCTGGTGCGAGTCAGTGAGAAAATCTGGGGCTATGCATTGTCTTATCGCCAGCAAAGTGGGTTCAAACACTTCCTCGTTGATGCTTCGGGGGATTTCTACAGCTTCCTGGGGGTAGATCCAAACCGACATGCAACACTGACAGATCTTATTGATTTTCACAAGGTAACACTTGCTAGGTAGAGATCAATAGCTGAGTGGAACGGATTAATAATTTAGAGAGGAGCCATGTAATTTGAAACCACATTGGAAACCAGTAACAACCATAGTGGAGGAAAGAATGTATGTATATATTCTGCAGTTAGCCTGGCATTTCTAGTAACATTTCTAGTTTGTCTCTTTTGTTGCAATGAATCAGAAGGCTTTTACCATTCAGTCAAATGCTTCAACATGCATTTGTGTCCCTTTCTAAGCAGATTCTTATACAATGTGCGCTCTCCTGGGCTAAAATGGGCTAATAAGGATTGACATAGCTAACATTTGCAGCATCTTTGCTGTGCAAAATTGGATTGGAAATACCATACAAAGGCCTTTCGATGAAATTCAGCATTTTTCCAAACTTTGATGTGATGCACTTTGAATGTGCAAAAGCAAAGGAGTGGGGCCCTGCAGTAAAGACAGGAACGTGGAGGGGTTCTCTTTTGGGGATGTTGCAAAGGTCATTCCATATCACCCAAAACAATCTTGCAAGAGTAGTTTACTACTCATCTTTGACTTTAGAGGGTTTGAATTATTTTGCCTCTGATTTGTGTTTCTTGTTGCCAGACTGTGACTCAGCTTTCTGATAGCGTAGATTGTTTCCATCATATTGCATCTCTCCCAGATGCAGTTTTAATTCTGCTTTTTTCTTAGCCACCCTCAGAATTTCTCTTCATCCTCTCTTTTCTAGGTCTCTTTCCTTTTTTATCTTTTTCTCACTCATTTCAAACTAATTCTGTTGAATTTTTTCTCCTATTTTTCTTCACAGATTTTATTTTTTTAGCATTCAGTCTCACAAACATTAAACAGTGGTTATTTTTCTTTCAATGTTGCTTCTCTTTTAAATCTTTCTTTTATTTCAGCTAGTTTGCAACTTCTCTTGAGTGTTTTAGTGTCCCCTCACAGATCACTATGACATTATATTTCCACAAGTTATATTTCTACATGGGAGGATACTAGGTGTCATATCTGACCAAAAAAATACACCCTCCCCTAATTTGCTGAAATTCTCTCTCAAAGGCTATGTTGGAAGCCAGTCCCCACTCCATCTTCTTCCTTTACCCCGTTTTTATTACTGAGCATGACATTTTATGATACAGAATATCTTTTTGTGCAGTTTGGGTCAAACAGCTGGGCTGTGTCCCCTCACAACTTCTCACTTATTCCCAGCCTACTCCCTGCCAGCAGGGCCTGAGTGGAAAAAAGAGAAAGCCTTGATGCTATGCAGGCACAGATCAGCAATAGCCAAAACGTTAAACGTGTGTTAACCAACACTGTTTTAGCCACAAATTCAAAACATACCACCATACAGACTGATGTGGAGAAAGTTAACTCCATCCCAGACAGACCGAGTACAACTGGAGAGTCTAACCAGAGCCATTCCAGGGAAAGGAAAGCACACATACACCACGCCAAATGCAGACTATCAGGCACTGGATGTAGAAGGTCTGGCTAAAGTACTATTCCATGTACTTCTGGGGACCCGCGATGGTAACAACCAATCCCAGCCATCTCTGTTCCAGCTCTGTTCCCGTATTTTCATCACAGCTCACCCTAGGCACTAGAAACACACCTATTTGCAGACAGTAGCAGAGTATTTGTCAGAATCAGAATGGCTTTTAATTTCTAACATCTAAAGAAAGCGAAAGTTTTCTTAGCTGTCCCCTGACAATAGTTAACAGCTCCCTCTGCAGTAAGCCAATAGGAGAAGCTGGTTCACCTTTAAAGTCCCCACACAATTCTCTTTGAACTGTCTAAGATAATAGCTGTATTAAAACTGGTTTCTTTGGCAATCACTTCAGGAGGTATCTTATCCTGTCTCTTGCATGGTGTTCTTTGAAGCTTTTCTGCCTGCCCTTTCTGGTAGAGTACAATGTCAAGTGTCCCAAAGCCTTTTTGTAACCAGCTACATAATCTTTATGTAAATGGTTGCGCTGCAGGCAAATTTTCTCTTGTAGCTATTGCTGTATTGTTTGGAAAAGTTGCTGCTTCCTCAGGACTATTTTTGGCAAAATTATACTTCCCCACACCAAAAGTTGCATGGGCTCCTCTCTGAGGGTCCTTCTCACCTTCAGTGAAAATAAGCATGGCTGGCATAGCTGGCATAACTATTTTTTTTAGTTGCTTATACTTATTATTAATCTCACACTGCTTCATTTAAAAATAAATAAAAATGAGAAGAGATCACTCAAGGTGACAGATACAAGGAGGTGTCAACCATTAGCTGGAAGAAAATAAATTCTTACAGAGGAGGGTGTAAGTGAGCATTTTCTCTTCTTATTTGCATTTAAATACTGTGTGGAAAGCAGCAATAACATATCCAAAATCATTGTTAGATCTTTGCATTTACTTCCTCATAACCTTCTCGTAAGCACTTAATTTGAGTAGTAACTTTCTGAACTTAGTCTGAGGTAGTGATTGGAATGGAACCACACCTAGGAGCCTTCACATATTCTTCGGAAAGGAGACAGTAAATTTTCCATTAAATTTCAATAGAAACTGGATAAGTTCTGAAAACATTAGATCCATATAGATCCATAAGTTGGATCTAACATTTCAGATGAAGGATTGCTATTTTAGTCAGTATAATTCTGGATTCTGGCTCAATTTGGTGCATCTAGAAATCTTAAACTTTATATATATATATATATATATATATAAAGTGAATTATCATTACTGTAGGAATACGTACAAAGACCAAGTTCTCTACTTTTTCAGTAAGTTTTTCTTTTTTTATCCATGTTGGTAATCAATTACTGAAATGACAGGCTTGCCATGTGGGTATTTAATGAGAATAGGTGCTATTTGTAAAGACTGTCTTTACCCTAGAAAGGTTAATATCTTTCACTTCTCTATAATCAGTCAGAAAGCTGTTACTGTTATGTGGGGGCACTCAACATTGAGCTCTTGCTCAGTCTGCCTGGGGAAGCTTCTTTCATCCCAATGGCTATGGAAGTAGCATAGTAGGACTGGCATATGTCTGTTAATCCTTGAGAATATACTTTGTAGGCATCTGTAGCTGTTTCTTTTAAGTAGTGTAAGAACTTACAGGTAGTACATATCACAGCCTTTCTTGTACACCAACTGCTTGATTTCACTGATACTATCACAAGTTACTACTGGCATGTGTAAGTAAGAGATAAACAAAGCATGAAGAATATGAATAGTTGATAGAATCCCTTTGATGGCCTGTACTTATTTTATCGAGCATTTATTCATAATTGGTTACCAATTACAGTGGAGTGATGGTCTTTGTTCCTATCCATTGCTTTTTTTAGAAGACAGGGAACAGCTTACACCTTTGATATTTTAATTGATTTTGTCTTTCTAGGAAGAAATCATCACATCCTCAGGTGGGGAGCTACTACTGGAGCCATGTGGACAGCAGAAGAATCCACCAGACTACATCCCTTTATTTGAATAACTAATTCAGGACTAACAGGAATGAATTCTGGATAGCTGTAGTAATAGATAACTACAAAAAATAACTGCTGAAAATTAGTCAATGAACTTCCAATGCCACTGGTCTTGTGGCCAAAATGCATCCTCATTAGAAGGCTCAAAATATTTCTGTTTTGTGTCTGAACTATCATTGTTATTCATATTGCTGACATTCTAAATGTGAGAAGTTACTGGCAGATTACAAATGAGGACTATTCCCAGAAATTTTTCAGGGGGTCATGGCCAATTGCTAAATGCTAAGTTCCTATCTTAATTTTCTTTATGTCTGAGACTGAAAAAGCAAAATGCAGCAAGAAGTATGACTGGGAACTACTTATAGAGTATTGAATGAAGTACCAATATTGGTGATTAGATTATTTTTTCAAAAGCAATCTTTGTCAGTTTCTGTTGACAATCTCATTACTTGGCAGTGCACTTTTGATAAGAGAAGCAGTCTTAAAACATCTTTTTGAAGTTTGTAATTGCTTAAGTGTTTAGATGTAGCTGGAAACTTGCCATTGTGCTTTTGAATTCAAACCTACAAATTTCACCACAGCAGAGACAGTATAAGGTCATATACATTTTATTTACATTTTCATGCAGTGCAACAGCCTTGGAAAGAATTTTCTGTGTAGAAAACAGTCAGTTTATTCTGATGAAATTTATTCTAATGAAAGCAGTTTAATTTGGAGCAACAATTCCTCTCATCACAATAGTCAACATGCTCTCCTGAAATTTGTGTCTTAGCACTTCTTGCAATCTGGCTGTCACATGGTATTGATGTAGCCCTGCATTGTTTCACAGGTAAGCTGGATACTACTGAGGCAGACAATTCAGGGAATGGAGTGAAAATGCTGCAAAACTGTCACTGTTACCTTCCTGTGCTCCTTGCTTTGTCCCTGTGCATGGCTATGTAAAATCTGCTGGGTGTTCATTTTAGCTCCAAACGTTCATTTGCAGGGCAATATTCCAAATAACAGGGTTGCAACAGTTTTCTGTGCAACTGATTTGTTTCAAGAGTGAAGTGGGACATGATGGAGGTAGTTGTGAACCTACTGATTAGTCTTATAGCCATGCCTTTAATAAACAGTTTCTCAATACTTTTTCACACGTAATACGTATTTTGAGATGTAAAGTGGACCGATCCATATGTGTTACTGTACCTTCACAGTTAATTTTTTCCTGTAAATCTGTAAACATATAGGAAAGGCACACCATGTGTATTTCCACATGCTACTGCTTTGGGCAGTCCCTGAATTTCTGTGTGGTTCTCTTTCAAATCCCACCATAGACTTCCCTCCTGAAACCCAGGTAAATCCATCTCCACCCACACAGTCATTTCTCTTGAATCACTGTTCCTTTCTATACTTTGTCCAGCCTAGATAGTAAGCTCATCTGGGAAAAGACACTTGTCTTGTATGAGGTGCTTTATAAGCTTGGACATTTAAGGTGCTACAATAATAATAAAAACCTGTGGTAATAATAGCAACATTTTTTTGTAATTAATTCAACAGTTAACCCATATTAAAGTACAGATTTTTGCACACAAACTTCATTGTTGTTCAAGAAAATTTTCTTTCATTAACGTTTTTTGTGTGATTTAATCCATCAGTGTTTGTGATCCATGAAAAGAAAGTTGTAATGAACTTTCCACAGAGACTTAGCTGGAGAGTTTCTGTATTAATCACTTGAGACACTGGCTCAGGAGGTTTTAAATAGTTACTGTTAGCACCTCATAACAAAGCAAATCAGTACCCTGAAAATAAGCAGTGCTTAGTAGCTGGAGCAGGCTATTCTTGGTGCACAGAGCTCAGGTAAGACAGCTGGGCTTTCCATAGGAGGTAGGCTTACAGAGGTAGGAGATTCTTTACCAATGTGTCTGATACCTTAAGAAATAAAATGAATTGGCAGCTAGATAAAGGATCAATATACCCAAGTGGTCTTGAAATTTTTTTAAAGTGTGATCCTTTGCAGGTCACCAGGGGCTGGATTCTAGACATGGAATGCGTTTCTGCAATTCCAAACATAGTAACATTTACGTAGGCCTCTTGTAGGATCTTTTTGCTCCATTAAATAAGAAGCCTTGTGTGTGTGTGACCTGAGATCAGAATACAGCAGGTACAGGGTATATACAGTTGTTGAATCCACCTGCCAGAATGTGGACCTCAGCACAGAGTAATTCTTTTTTGCTTCAAATGTGGTAAAATAATCACAAAGTTGTTTTTTTCCAGTAGAATATTCACTAAGTGCAATCTACCTCCTCCAAACAGCTCCAGGATCTACCAGCTGCTTCCTCTGAGAAACTGGCTCTGTGCTTGCTCCCTCTATATAGGCATCTCAAGAACCACCTCAGTCTCAGGTTATTCACAGCTGCACATATTCCACCACCTACTTCACAGGAGAACGGACAGAGACCATTTAAAGTTAAAAAAGGCATATGTATCCATAGACTTACCTCTGAGGCCAGAGAGCAGTAGATGGCTGCATAGGACTGAGGGTCTAAAAGTGGTACTGAGTAATTAAGGTGGTATTTAGACACCTAGATACCTTTGCAGACTGCTGTTCTGCCTTTATGTACTATAAAAAAGAAAAAAAAAAAAGAGGACATAAAATGTTGCCTTTTCTTTGGAAAAGGTGCTAGGCATGCTAGAAAAGAAGACATGCAATTTCAAAAGGTTTTTGAAGATTACTGCAACACACACAATTCTTAGAGTGTTTACAGACAGGATATTGAACAACTTGTTCCATAAGGAATTCACATTCAGAGACTGATAATAACACAGCTATTTATTTCTGGTGACACACTTCCCAGCAACTGCTTGCATTTTGTTTAGCTTATAAGAAGGCTTGGGAATATTAGCTCTTGAGTTTCTGTCCTCTTGTGATGTAATTAACATCACAACAGCATCCTCATTTTCACTCCAGAGCACATTTCTTACTTTAAATTTTCTGAATGTTTCTGTCTAAATTCCATCCATTTCTCATTCTAGGTTTTAGCTGGCTTTAAAATAAATCCCTTGTAAGTTCCCCTGCAAATGAAATTACTTGGAAAACTGCAATTTCGTCTGAGAGTTTTATTATGCTAATAAATGTCAGAATTCTCAAGTAAAAGAATTGCTTTTTGTTTCCATAGCCCCACAGAAATAATGAAAAATAGCCAGCCAATTCACAGAGTTACAAGGAAAGAAAAACTCAACAATACATAAATAGCAGCAGCAATAAAATACAGTGCAACTTAACTGAAGATAAATTTTGAAGGAAACAAAAGGAGATCATAGCAAGCAGAAGTTAAGAACAGAAGCTTTCCTTGATAGAGACATGCAGCTGCTGTCAATACACTTGAGAGCTGTGGGCGAAGTACAAGCATGCAGATGTTTTCTAAGCCAGCAAATGCTTCTTGTTGCCTTACATAGGAAATAAATGTACTATGAAAAGGTAACCAAATTGTAAAAAACATAGAAGGTAAAGCAGTAAAGGAGTAAATATGGAAAAATAAGAAAATAAAGGGAGAAATGTTCTAATCCCATTGTTTTGAAGGCATTTTGGATTTTTGCTACTCTGGGAGGAAGACTGGGCACCACTACCTTCCTTTCGCTCTGTAAGTCTCCAAGACTTCAGCTTTGAGCTAAATTTACCTTGGAGCTAGACTTTACACTCACAGTCTGTAAGATTTAGGCTGGTCCATACTGCAGCCCTGAATGCTGCATCTGCTTCATGCTGCCTGCCTCTACATTTAGTGCTCTCTGAAGCTGTTCATCACTGTATACAAAATCGTTTTAGTGCTGCAGCTTTATTGTCTGGAATGGCTAGTTTTATTCTATTACACAGTGACCTCCAGGTCTTGCTTTCTGATCTGTTTTTTGTAGTGGTAGCTATTGTTGCGTTGTAAGAAGTGTATGTTATGGATTTTCATTATAAGATTTCCTGTCTATGTTTCTTGTCAATGAGACCACCAGGAATACATGAGAGGCCTATTACAGTAATTCTAGTTCATAAGGAAAAATGCTACAGCAATAAAGGAAACTTTAGACTTTTAAATTAATTGAACTTTTCTTCATACCTGTTTCACAGTAATAAAATACGGCACACAATGTCCCAAGCTTGTTTGCATGTACCTTTGAAAAAAACAGCTCTTGAGGATTTATTCTTGCTTCTTCATAGATCCCCAGATGCATCTTTCTAATTTTGTTTTAATCTGTTATTGTAGATAGGCATCTCCAGTTTAATATTGCTGTCTTCTCTGAAAGAGAACTGTTGTGGTTTAACCCCAGCTGGCAACTAAGTGTCACTCAGCCTCTTGCTTACTACCCCTAGGTTGGGACTGGGGAGAGAACTGGAAGAACAAAAGTGAGAAAATACATGGTTTGAGATAAAGACAGTTTAATGGGTAAAGCAAAAGCTGCACACACATGCAAAGCAAAACAAGGGATTAACTCACAGCTTTGCATCTGCAGGCAGGTGTTCAGCCTTTCCTATGACAGCATTGCTCCATCTCATGTAATGGTTACTGGGGGAGACAAACACTCTCACAGCATTCTTCCCTTTCTCCTTCTTCCCCAGCTTTATATGTTGAACATGATCTGCTCTTATCTGGTCATATGGTCTAGGATACTACTTGAGTTAGTTGGGGTTGTCTGTTCCAGGTGTGTCCCTTCTCAGCTCTTGTGCACCCCCCAGCCTACTATGTAGTGGGGTGGGGTGAGAAGCAGAATAGGCCTTGACACTATGTTATCACTGCTCAGCAATAAGGAAACCATCCCTGTGTTAGCAACTGCACAAATCCAAAATGTAGCCCTGTACTAGCTGCTGTGTAAAAAACAACCTGTACCCAAACAAAACCAGCATAAGAACAAAAACTAAGAAATTGGCAAGCAGTCATGGATGAGATTTTCAAGGCTACTCAAATAATATAATGCCAGCCTATTACCTGTTATAATTACTGTAATGAAATAATTATATAGTATGAGTATTTACATATTGTTTTTTATAAAAGAGTAATACAGGACAACTATTAATTACTAAATCCCTACTGTGCTGAACAAGTACTGAGCAAAAGAAGATAACTCCTGCCTCAAGAAAGACGTATCTAAAACTTTTAGATACAAGAGATTATTTTCAGACTTACTAAGTAGAAATTGTTTCCAAAGACCAGATTCAGAGTGAGAATTTCCACCGGATTTAAATTACTTTGAATCAAATGAATAAAACCTATTTCTTTGCTGAGGTGAGCCAAGATTAATACACTGACTACAGTAAAACAATTCAGTTTTGAACAAACTAGGAATCTACTTCTGCTCATTCTTCTCCTGTATCCCCACAGACCTGAATATAGAACAATAATGGAGTTACACCACATTTCACTGCAGGCTTATTCTTACAGAATGTCACAACACAAACCTGGTCTCAGGTGAAATGTGGTAGCTCATAGTGGGAGAAATTTGTCTCTTCCTTTGTTTACATAATTTACAGGTTGGAGTTTACTCTTCAATGGTTTTCAAGGACTGACTTTATTTTCTGTTTTGTTATGCCTTTGCTTTAAGATTCCTTTTTCCTTTCCCAAGAGGACAGTGCTACTGACCTCTGTAAAGTAATAATGCAGCCCTGAATGGGCTATTGATTGCAGATGAGGTGTTTGCATTTGGCCAGATGTTTGTGTTTCCTGAGATGAATCTTCTGGATACATACTGTCTAATGATAATGATGTGTAATTGATGTTTATAGCTAATTTCTTGCCATGCAAGTGTGTGTGAAATCTTCTCTTCAAATATTTGTTTGCTGCTAGTGGTTAGTCCTGTAGCTTGCATATTTACACTATGACCCATAGCTAATGTGAATTTTCTGCTAGACTGGAGCCTTCAATGAGTTTGTTTCTTCTCTCTTAGAATTTCTTTCAGTACTTTTAAATGAAGATAACATCATTTTATGTTATCTTTATTGAACATCAGTAACTGATTTTTCTTAAGGAGGAGAAATAATTTCAAAAGAGGTTGGACACCTAGTTTGTTCCAAATCGTGTTCATTTGATCTATGTGTAAAGGAAGCACTTATCATGTGAATGTCTTCTTTAAAGTTTAGCTGCCATTACTTCCCTATTCTCAGTTTTAGTAAGAAAGGTATGTGGGAGAAGGTCATACACTCACAAGCAATGGAGAGAATGGAGAGGAGGTAGGACTGTCTTATTTCATGTAATTTTACATGTAAGAGAAGGCAAAGTCTTGAATACAGTATTTCCTAGGATGCAGTGTTTTTCTTGCTTAGCATTCAGAGCATCTAAGGCTGAGACCTATCATCACTACTTTTCCCTTATACGACGGCAACAGGAGGGTATTTATACTGGATGCGAAAAGGGCCCAGATGGAATGGAATGACACATTACAGTGCCCCAGAAATGACACAGTAGTGCAGATCAAGAACATGGTAAAGACATATTTTGTATATAGGTGTGTAGAACTAGGAGTAATTAGAAATTAATGTCTGCTTGAAGTTAATTCTTTTAATTATACAATTGTCATTAATGGTCAATGCATGTGAAGATGTGGCCAATCTTAATGTATTTCCTATTCCACACATTCATGGACCGTAGATTGCCTAAAAGGAAAATCAGAAATACTTGTCTTCAAAAAGAGTTAATAAGCATTACTGTATGATATTTTGGGCAGAGAACTTTAAATTGTATTATGCATAACTATCAGAATATGAGAATGTAGAAGCTAAACACTATTTACTGCATAATTAACTTCTCAACAAACAATAAAGACTATCCCCAGTTATACTCCTGTAGGAAATGCTCTTAATATTGTAGACAGGAAAATGTCATCTCATCTAGGAGTTTAAGCTTAATAATGCACTTAAATATTACACCAAATCATTTCAGAGAGCCATATGCTGAACACTGCACTCCAGTTAGTAAAACTCCAGTTAGTAAGAGTTGCACTTCTACTTGTTCTTGGTTCTCAAACTCCTCTTCTTTTGATAGCCTGATGCTAATGAGAAATACTGGTTTAATAAATAAGTAAGTAATTCAAATCCAGCTTTATGAAAGATGTATTAAGGTATATGTTTCATTATAATTTTTACCATTAACATTTGTCCTTATGGAATCCCAGAAAAAATGGAAGTATCTAAGATATGACTAAATGCATACAGTTTTGGTCTGACTGCTAGACAGTATTTTGTTACCATTTATGTGCTGTAGTCACAGCACACCGTTCATTTTGAATTTTGAATTTCAGCATGCTATGTGCTACATTAGAACCTATCTACATTTTTAAATAACAAAACAGTAAAGAGCAGTGCTGAGCCCTACAACATCCACTGGAGCTCTTAAATTCTCAAAAAATAATATAGATTTTGTTTTGTAAGCATTGCCTGTGAGAATCACTTTTCACTTCCTCCAGAAAGAAACTGAGGTACTCTAAAATCTTTCATTGACACTTTTTAATGGAGAAACATTCTGTTTCCAAAATGCAAACCCTTGTGAAATTGTTTCAATTTTTTAGTGTAAAAAAGATTAGAATTATCTGAAGGCATTTTTAATTGTAGAAAATATGAAAAGTATACTTAAATTTAACATACACTCTCCCCCTCCCCCCATTTTTCATTCAGCCCTAAAAGAAAATACGCTGCACTGGGCTCCAAAGTCAATACAGATATGCAATGGTTTTGACATTTCATTAGGTATCCATTCTCTTCATTAATGCTAGTTTCCTTTTAAAGAAGAATGGAAATACCCAGGGAACAGTTATTCAAAATGTCAAGCCCATTAAATATCCAATTTGATGCTTAAAATAAATTTATGAAGTTATAAATAAAATCCCAAATAATGTTTTCTCAAAAAAAAAAATAAAAATCAAACTAACAAGTGAGTTCAGAAAAAAAGAACTGATGTATCTTGTTCTCAATTTTGAATATTTTGTGTTACATGGTTGGATCCTTACAGCGTGATTTCCATTTATATATTACTAAAAAGTGTAAGTGATGAAAAATAATTAAATGGAATAAATAACATAATGGAAACAAAGTCTGCTATTCCAGTTTCTCTGAAAAAGACTAATTCTATCAATCAACCGTATGGTTATGTGAAAAACTAAGCCTATTCATGAACTTTTGCAGGAAGAAGGATCTAAGTTTTTAAGGTGTCATTGTGACTGACCACAACAGATATCTCTTCCTGCATGAAGGTCTCTGATTAAGAAAGTTCTGACTACAAATTTGAATACCAAATAGAAACATTTGCAAGGACCCAGCTGCATGCAAATGCAAAACATCCCATAGAATAGCCACTGTTATGTAGCAAAAATGAATAGCTTGGCCTCCAGCTGTTCACCTTAGGTTGGACTAGAAACATTGACTTCATCCAAGGTTCCAAGTCACTCTGGTATCAGCTCCTCTGTCAAAGGTCACTGGTTATGTGAGGAGACAAGGAGTCACGAGAAAATGTGAAAACTCTGGAAAACTTGAAATATTTCCATGACAGGAAGAAAAACAACTTCCTCTTCCCCACAGTAGATAGGAGTCAGTTTGCAAAGGAAAAAAAGGAGGCTTTGTGAAACTGTTTTCCTATTGATGAGTAGACATTTAGACAATTTCTTGAAGTCAATGAGAACTAAGTGGGGAATAAGGATTTCACAGTTGGGTCATTTTTTATTCGTTCTATTCTACAGCACTGCACATACAGTTGTGAAGTGCTAACCCATCTGTTCTAGGAAGTTGTTAAAATCCAACGGACTAAAAATACTCTGTCTGCCAAGGAGGCAGTCAGGGTGAGTTGAAAAGGCTTGTGTGCATTTACTTTGAGCCACAACCTGCAGATAAATCAAGAGGCACCAAGGCTTGCTTGCTTTCTTTCTTCCTTTCTTCTTCCTTTCCTTCTTTCTTTCCTCCTTCCTTTCCTTCTTTCCTCCTTCCTTTCCTTCTTTCCTCCTTCCTTTCTTTCCTCCTTCCTTTCCTTCTTTCCTCCTTCCTTTTCCTTTCTTTCCTACTTCCTTTTCCTTTCTTCCTTCCTTTTCCTTCCTTCCTTTTCCTTTCTTCCTTCCTTTTCCTTCCTTCCTTTCCCTTCCTTCCTTCCTTTTCCTTCCTTCCTTTTCCTTCCTTCCTTCCTTCCTTTTCCTTCCTTCCTTTTCCTTCCTTCCTTCCTTCCTTTTCCTTCCTTCCTTTTCCTTCCTTCCTTCCCTCCTTCCTTCCTTCCTTCCTTCCTTTTCCTTCCTTCCTTCCTTCCTTCCTTCCTTCCTTCCTTCATCCCCCAGACCTATTAATAATGAACCAAATTCACAACAGCCAAGGAGAAACCTGCCTCCTGGCTAATACTCTGTAAAACTGTGTCTGCACCTGCCCATGGTGCTAAAGTTCATTTCAAGTTACACTTTAATAATAGATGATCACTTGCCAAATCCCGTTGTAAAGCCTTTTTATCAATGTCTTTAGTGGTTCATTTTGTGTCAACAGCAAATCAATGAATGGAGTGCTCGAGACTGAATTAATGTTGCTTCACCTGTTTCAAGTGAAGTTTTCAAAGACTAGAAGGATAATACTCAGATTTTTTTCTTTGATAACTTTGTTTCTGAGCAATGGTGCCATCCTTGTGATCAGCTGTAACAAAGATTAAACGCATTAATGAACTTAGTCTAACATTAGAAATGTGCTGTGAGAGACAACTGAAAAATGTGGGGCTTGAAGCTGGTAGCTGGATCCTTGTAAATGTAAATGCTGCAGAGATGTAGCAAGGAACACACTTACTCCTAGAATACTATCTGGGGAGTCAGGCAGGATCTAAAACGGCTTAAAACTCTCCAAGGTAATGCAGTAATTAACCATGCAGAGAGAAGTACAACGAGGTCATGAACTGAGTTCCTGTATTTAAAACTGCAGGAGTAGCCTGTATTGTCAGAATAATCCCACAGCACTGCAGGAATAATACCAACCATCGCACCCACCTCAGAACAGCTTGTGAAGTACAAATGTCTTGTTTGTCAACTCAACACAGAAGGGGTACCTGGGCTGCCACTGCTTAAATCCTGCTAGTCTGTATCTATCACAGGTGAAGAAACTTACAATCTTGAGAAGTTTCAGCAACCCTTACATCATCTTGGAGCCACCTGTACAGCAAAGCAATTGAACTGTTTCATTGCCTTGTAGAAATGATTTCTTTGTGATCCTCAAAGCCACGTGAAGTAATTACATGGGATTTCTCATTAATTTTGCTACTATAGATGACTACAAAGTATATGACAAACGAAAATTACTTTTACTCAAGCTTAAATAGCCTAGGAGGAAACACAAACCTTTTCCTGACAGTTTAGCTCCAGGTTTATGCATGCATAGGTAGAGCTGAGGCTGCGTGTTGTCTATCATGGGGCGCACCGGTACAGCAGGGTGGCACTGCTGAGGGCAAGCGGATCACAGGGGCGATCGCAGAGCTGGGCACAGGCTCATTGACGGGGAAGACCTAGTGCGTAAAACGTGAGGGCAGCACCAGCCTGGGGCATGATTCAGGCAAGACGGTTGTTCTGGAGAGTTCCTTAAAGTTAAACCTCCCCACAGATCGCGGCTTTCTGTTGGTTTTTAGATTCCTCCGCGTCTTTTTGAGAACAATTACGGTTTGAATGCTAAAGCTCACCTGCTTGTTGAACGGCCCCGCTCACGCAGCCCGGCTAACGGCCGCCCCTCAGGGGCCCCTCCCCGCCCTCGCGCGGTTTCCAGGTCTCTCAGCTGAAAAGGCCGGGTCGGTTGTGGCTGCCATCCTCTGCCTCCTTCCGTCCTTGCCACCATCGGCCCGGGAGCCCCGCGGCACGTGAAAGGCCGCTTCATTTTGGCCTTTCCCCGATGAGACCGTTAGAGTTAACGCTTGAAATCTATTATTATTTTAGCCATTACGAAAACAAAACAGCGTTTTTGGAAGGGAGAGAAAATAAAGGGATAAGTAAAACAGTGCTTCTTTTGCATTGTGTAAAGTTAATTGAATTGACCTATATTGACCTGAATTTGTCTGGATTGATTGCCAGGTTTTCTTTGTGTCACCAGTTTTGACAGACTTGATTGTCCTCCCAGTGTCTCAGTGAGGCAGCTGCGGGGAAGAACCATGTCCTCTAGCTCACTGTGTGAATTTAGGATGAGGTGCTTTGGCACTATCAAAGTGGCTGAAGGAGCTGGCAGCTACAGAAGCAGTGGAGGAGGATGAGGGCTGGAGCTGTTGTGGCTTAGTTTGCTCATGAGTGCTCCAAAGTGAAGCTTCGGAGGTTGAGGGCTTAGTCTTGTAGGTTTACTGGAGAAGACAAAATCAACAGTAGTTTTCATCTGCCAGAAGCCTCCTATGTACTGAGCCTGAAATGCAGGCCTGATAAAAACTTTTTCCGCGAGCTGATTTCTCTCAGATGATAATTTACAGACTGACACGATAACACAGGCAGCAGGAAATACATGGAGGAATGCTGAACTATTCTGGTTAAAGAACTCTTTAGCTACTGGAGAAGACTCACTCAGTTGTGCTACATGTGGCTGCACAACAGAAATGGGAAGACCATAAGGAAGGAAGCTGCTATATTGCCTCCAAAGGGGAAGGAACCATCTTCTCCAACAACATTAACCTGATGAAGGTGGACTGGAAGGTAAGATGCATTTTTTGTTGTTGTTTGGCTTAACTTCCCAAAATTGCTAGGGTAATGGTACTGGAATGCAGGAAAGATATTGGCTGAGTTTTGAAAGAGGAAACCCCTCAGTGGTTGCTGAGGAGGTTAGTGTTCACTGGCCCATGTGTTAAACCAAGTCTAAAGCTCAAGTTTGACCTAGAAGGAATCTAAAGGAAAAAAAAAATAAAAATTCCAGCATGTTTGTATCTCCATGAGTCACTAAAACAAAATCAAATATTAGTTTAGGATTGAGGTTAGTTACAAAATGCAAATGCTTTCCAGTGTTTCCAGTGAGCGTTGGATCAGATCTGGAATGCAAAAGAAGATAAATCTGCTTTCTCAACTTCACAGTCACAGCTGGCACACACATTTAGAAGGGCAGCTTGTGTTTCCATTAATGGAACTGGTTTTGTTCAACGAAATAAAGTGTATCAGTCTCTGGAAATACAAATTTAAATCTTATCACTAGCAGCTTTCTCGACACAGCACTAAACCCAATTTCATATACAGAAGAGGGAAAACTGTCTGAAGACTTGAAAATGTCAAAATAAGAAATTGCTAAAATAGAATTGTTGTGGTAGAGAAAGTAGAGTGGCAAACAACTATGTTCTGGTTGATTTGACATGCTTTGATACAGTTTATAGACTTTCAAAAAACAGGATTATTTAATACATACTGAAATAATGCTCAGTAATAAAGCTTGAGCATAACAAGAAATAATTGTAAATAGCTACCAAGAATACAGTGATGCCTGTTTTTCACAATGACATTATTCTATCTTGATTTCTTTTTCTAAGGTGATCTCAATATGCATCTTTTTAGTACCGAAGAAGAAGCTAAAGAATATCTAATTGAATTTGCATTTTCTTAAATAGTTCAGATGAAATGTTGATGCTTATTTATTATTTTGTGGATTTTTTCCATGTTAATTTAATTTTCAACAAAATAAGGAGTACAATAGAGAAAATGAAACGTAGACATAGGATATTGTAATTGTGGTTGATTAGAAACAGCAGGTAAAAGATGAAGACTCTCCTGCCTTCATTCTGCACAGCACAACATGAGTTAAAAAGTCACCCATGACATGAAAGAAACTCCTTTTAGCTCACAATGGAAGAACTGTAGAATCACAAAATAATTTAAGGTTTTAGAGTGTCTTTGGAAGTCATGTTTGTACTAAAATTTTAGGATGGCTTCCCTGGATTTATGTGAAGTTTGCTCCATTTTATTTTATTCTTTCAGCATGTGGGATTATTTTATTTTTTATTCTGCAGGACTATAACTAATTTATTGGTATATAACCAATACATTTTCACATCTGTCCTTGTGCATTTCTTTCAGATTTTTATTCTTGGCGCTCATCTTTCAGTAAGGGTTTTGCCTTACGCTCTTTTATTTTATCACAGATTACACCAGAGCTGCTGGAATTCATTGTGTGTGAATAGGGGCACAAGTTCTACTGAAAGAGGCTGAAAAATATTTTACAGAAGCTAGCTGGGCATTCTTGCCATGTTTGCAGTATTAAAACTCATTATATGTATGTAATAGAGGTGTTTGTGGTTGGTCTTGTTTTTTTTTTTTTATTTATTTAAAAATATATTTGATGGATAACAGAGGATTTGTTGAAGGCTTCATTTTAGTGTAGGCAGGTAGAGTTTCTTCTTTAAGCTGTATATTTTACAGTGACTGCTGTTGCAGTTCTGATAAAACGCTGTTGCATATGAGTTCTGTAACAGCTACAGATGTGACTGCAAAAGTGTCTGGCATCTTAGGAGGTAAATAAAAAAAAAAAAGGCAGCCCATTTCTAACCAGAGAATGCAAGGAAGGAATTTGTCACTATTGACAACAGGGAAATAAATATTACAATAGATTTATGTCTACCCAATGAATCTATATTAGCATCTGAGTGATGTCCTGTCTCAGGAAGACTCATAGACCAGTGTTATTAGCTTCCTTGATGGTGATCTTTCCTTTCAGGCAGTGACTCTGTGGTGTGAAATTGACATCTTGTTTATTGTTTTTCTTGTGTTCTTTCACTTCCTAAAGGAACAAGAGTATTATTACATTATACTATGGTAAAAAAAAGAAAAAAGTCTTAGTTGCATGTCCAGATCTAGGCTCCAAAATTCACATTTTGGCACTACAATAGAAGTAGCCAAACTGAAGTCTCAGACATTGTACATAACTTTATATGTACAGTGTATGTGCATCATATTGGAAAAATTGTTTGTATAAATGCAAAATAATAAATTTGGAGCCTGTGTTGAGGTACAGAAGGTGCTACAGTTCTTGTCTATCTATTTAGACACACATTATGGGAGTTCCTCATCAACAGTAATTATAAGACTATAAAGGAGCTATGCTTTCTGGAACATAAACAGTTAATTGTAGCACAGCTCAGCCTATGAGCTGGTTCAGTGTTTCTACTTGATTATTCTTGTTGCTCAGTTTTCCAGGCCCAGGATCTCCTGCTTTTTTTTCAGAGATACAGGTATCTTTCACTTCTTGATTCTTCTAATGTTTGTTTCTTGTTTTTTTTTCCTACGGTCTGGTGTTTGCCAGTAAGTTTAGTCACTTGAGTACACCATTAAAGCGTGCTTGAAGAATTCATTTGGAAACTATGCTAGAATAGTAATTATAGAAAAGTTACTGTAGAAAAGTAGAGGAAAAAAAAACCCCTCAGATAATTTAGTTAAATAAAAGAAATCAATTTCAGGCAAACTGAAGTAGTTCTGGGTTTATGTATAACAATACCATAACTCTTTTGAAATTTAAGAAAAGCTCAGTGTCTCCAGTTCCAGTCTCCCCTTAGGCTCTCCTAAATTCTTGGTTCTTACTAGCTTTGAACTGAGTGATTAAGGAATGCTCTGTTAGTGCCTGCCTAATCCAGAACTCCTGGAAATCCATGCAAGTCTGCTTTTATCTTAGTTTTCCAACTTGTTAAATGTCTCATAGACAAAGATATATAAAGAATGGGAAGTGTCAAAAGAAGACCTTTCTAGGAGTAAATATGATGGACCCTAAAGATGTGAATTCCATGAAACAATTTCAGATGAGAGTCTGAACTTCTGTGTTTCATATAAAAATGGTTGAGCTTTTTGACAACAGCCAATCTCTTAATGAAAATGTTCTTATGTATTTTTGAATCTATCCTGCTGCTTTAGATGGCAAGTCCTTTAATAACTCTTCAGAATATATCGAAATGCTATGCTGTGCTGAAAGCCTACTTTTTTTCCCTTTGGATCCTAGCTTAAAAGTGAATGCTGCACAGTAGGATATCGTTTTGGATTACAGAACAAGAGCTCCAAATGTCAGTGGTAAATAATCAGCAAATCTCTCATTATCAATAAAATGGTCCTGATATTCAGGAAAAAGCCATTCGTTAATACTTCAAATTCATATCCTCACAAACCTTTTATCTTGTAGCAATCCCACCCGCACCAAACAAAATACAGTTTAATACAAGAGGAATCTTTTGTTTTTTTTTCATGCCTAATAAACTCGAGTTAAGGGTTTAGAAACTCCTGCTGGACAAGGGACTTACTTTGATTTTAATAGTGTTTTAAATGAAACTATTTGAAGATGTTTTTAATTCCCCATCTTTCATGACTGTAAAAGATACAAAATCCTTTAATATGTGTTCAGGTACCATTTATTTTCTGAATAACTGTCTATTATTGT